ATGTATTTCTGTCTCAGCGAATTCGTCAAAATGGGCAAGTAGCGGAGGCGTCTGGAGGCGATGTTTAAGCTCCTGGAAAGCGTGTTCCTGTGGCGTTTCCCACTTGAACTCCACGTCGGCCTTGGTAAGGTTAGTGAGAGGATCGGCGATGCGGGCGAAGTTTTTCACGAACCGCCTATAATAGGCGCACAGGCCCAGAAATCGGCGCACGGCTTTCTTGTCAGTGGGCGGCGGGAAGTCGGCGATGGCGGCTGTTTTCCGTGGATCAGAACGAACTCCAGACTTGCTGATAACGTGCCCCAGAAACAAGAGCTCTTCATACGCAAATCTGCACTTTTCTGGCTTCAGTGTGAGTTCGGAAGTCTTGATGGCTTGAAGTACAGCTTCAAGGCGCCGAAGATGCTCGTCGAAACTCGAGGAAAACACGACGACGTCGTCCAAGTACACAAGGCAAGTCTGCCACTTCAATCCTGCCAGTACTGTATCTATAACGCGTTGAAAAGTTGCAGGCGCTGAGCAAAGGCCGAAGGGCATCACCTTAAACTCGAAGAGGCCGTCCGGTGTTACAAACGCCGTGTTCTCTCGGTCTCTTTCGTCGACTTCGATTTGCCAATAGCCAGTCTTGAGGTCCATTGACGAAAAGTACTTGGCGTTATGGAGCCGATCAAGTGCGTCGTCTATTCGTGGGAGAGGATACACGTCCTTTCTTGTGATTTTGTTCAGGCGGCGATAATCGACGCAAAAACGTAGGGTCCCATCCTTTTTCTTCACTAACACCACGGGGGACGCCCATGGGCTTTTTGCAGATATCTCGCAGATATCTCCATACAAATTGGTCTACGGAAGGAGCCCGACAACGACGCTCGATGCCATGTTACCCAACGTCACCGACGAAGAAAACCTCGATGTGAGCGAGTACCTTCATCGCGCCGAAGAAGCCCGACAACTTGCGCGGCTCCGTATCAAGAATCAACAGACGACAGACAGCCACCGTTACAACCTTCGACGACGCTTCGTGGAATACCAGCCCGGTGAACGTGTTTGGGTGTGGACGCCGATACGCCGACGTGGACTAAGTGAAAAGCTTCTGCGACGGTACTTCGGACCGTACAGGGTGGTTCGACGTCTCGGCCCACTTGATTACGAGGTTGTCCCCGACGGCATCACGAACTCTCAACGACGCCGATCGCGACCTGTGGCGCAATTATGTAAAAATTCCAAATCCGGACGGAGGCGGTCTGTCGGTGACGTCAAAAAATGGGCGGTCTGCAGCGGTCGCGAGGACGAGAGGAAGTGAACAGCCAATGAGGGAAATGGAGGCTTGCGTCATCATTTTGACGTTGACTTGGGGGCCGTATAGCAAAGTGAAAAGTGTTTGTAACATGTTCAGAAGTGTTTGACTATTATTGCGCACTATTAAAATGTGTTGGCACTAGTTTTCAATTGTTTAATAAGGAATACAATACAATCCAAACGTATTTTTTCTGTTATTGTTCTAAACAACGCTAAATTTAGCGGGACGATTTGTGGTGGCGCTAGGTACAACTTTGTTTCAAGCAGTTACTGTTTTCAAAACTCCACTACTAACGGCGCAACTTTCGAAGTCGTTGGCTCGGTCGAGCGCAGTCATGGCGGAGGGCAACGGCACCGCTAGCCACCAGCAGCAGCGGCTCATCCGCGTTTCCGAGGGTCAGCGCGCGCTGGTGCTCGCCTTTATGAGCGAACATCCGCAGCTCGCGGCGAAAGCCATTGAGCTGCAGCATGGCGTCACGGTCGCCGACCGGCGGCGGCTGTGGCAAGAGCTCAGCGACGCGCTGAACCTTGAAGGCCCTGCGCAGAAAAGCGTGGATGACTGGCAGGCTTGGTGGCGCAGGCAGGTGCACGAGGCCCGCCGTGACGCCGCCGCCATCAAAGAGGCACAAACGTGAGTGACCGTTGAATGTGCGGGCGATTTGTTCTTTGACATTGGTGTATATTTCCAGGGGCACTGGAGGGGGTCGTCTGCCAGGCTTCTGGGGTCGCGTGTTGCAACTCACCGGGTTGGCGCGCTTCGGTGGCGTCTTCGGTTCCCTCGAATATCAACAGGTAAGCACTCTGCCGCCGCAGTATCACGGGTTCCTGAGCGGTGCCATGACAGAGTTTGCCCATTTTGTAAGGGGTGCCTTTAGGGGAACCTTGTTGAACAGTAAGATAGTGCAGGAAAAAGAATTCAAAAGCAGGTAGGTTTGTCAACTGAAATCTCGCTTTGCAGCCCTTGCAGTAAAAGGCGTATTTATTTATCAAACAGACACGAAATGCCTGCGGGCAAGTGCATGCACTAAAATGGTAATACTTGATATCATTGACCACTGAATAGCTGTAGAACGTTTCCGCAGATGTTTAATAGGTAAGGTTGTAAAATAGCCAGAGTAACGAATACCCTTTTTCTGAAAGATTATGCCCACGACACTTTCCAGCAGGCGGATGTTCCCGCTCCTGCAATGGAGGTCGAGGTGGAAGCCACTGAAGCGGCTGCAGCAGCTGACAGTGACACAGCCACACGTAAGCATCTGAGAACTTAGTGTTTTATTGATTATAGGACGTATGTGCGCCCAGTTCGTGAACTTTTATTTTTTACTCCACAGAAGCCCCCCCAAGTTACCTGGCAAGCGGCCCCGCTGTACCGGGTAACTTATTGATCATCAAAGTGTTTTGAGAAAATAACCTCTCGTATGTTATTCGAATTGCCCAATTATCCACAACATGGCCATAGACTTAAAGCCTACCACAGCATGCGGTGACGAAAATGCTGCATGTTTGCAGTGCCTCAGCCTCCTGTGCGGCCTCGCCGTCAACAGAGGCCACGGCGCACCGACACCTTGTTGCGGGTGTCTTCCCAGTGCGACCAGAGCCTCGAGCTGACTGAGAAGTTGCTTGATGTGAGTAGACCGTTTGTTTAAATTTTATGTAAAGGGTGTGAACATTTTTGATGCTCTGTTATGATGACTGAAACCAACTTGGGCTGTAAATAAGAAACATGCATTGTATTGAGGGCACGGTATCTGACATCTGCAATGATAAACTGCCGGGCAAAAGGTTGGTTAGCCCTGAAAAGGGCTGTTTGATTGTAAGAGATGCATTTGAGGAGATGAATGAAGAGTAGTTCCAGCAATTGTTTGTTGATCCAAACGAAGAGGGCATAGCTTGTACACGAAGCTTCACACTTTCAAAGGATGCCACCAGGCCAATGAATTTTCAACTGAGGGGAAATTGTTGTTCACGTTGCAATTCTCCGCAGCAGCAGCTTCGAGCCACGAGATGGTCGAGAGTTCTTCAGCAGCTCATGCAAACATTTCCACCATGATGATTCACTGCAGGAGGTGCGGGGGATCAGAAGATCAGCCTTGCACTTAACTTCTCTGGCGCGGCGTATGGTAGCAGCACTGGAACGGGCGGCCGCAGCACAGGAGCGGGCGGCCGCAGCACAGGAGCGGGCCGTGGCTGAGGGCCCTCTGCGGGAAAGAGATACATAGTTATCTATTTTGATGTTCGATATATGCGTTTATTTTAAGTTTTGCATCATGTTTTTAATGTTTTAAATGTTTATCATGCATTATTGGTTTATTAGTTTTTATATGTTTACGTGTTGCAGTCAGCGTACCATTTCATACGTTGTTTTTTACATTTAATACATATTACTACCTTTAAGTTAGCATTTACTTTGTACAAGGAGTACAGCATTTTTTTCTTCACATGTCTTTCATCTATTTTGATGTTCGATATATGCGTTTATTTTAAGTTTTACATCATGTTTTTAATGTTTTAAATGTTTATCATGCATTATTGGTTTATACTACCTTTAAGTTAGCATTTACTTTGTACAAGGAGTACCGCGTTTTTTTCTTCACGTGTCTTTCATCTTTTTTGATGTTCGATATATGCGTTTCTCAATTTATGTTCGACCTACTCGTGAGGCAGCGTCTCCCCCCTCCCCCCACCATCTTAAAGGTGTCTAGTCATCCACACAAAGACCAAGAGCGTATAGTTGACATTTTTTGAGAATGTTTTTAGCACTGTGATATTTGTGTTGCCTCACTGTTTTCTAGCTCACGGCGCTTTTTATGCAGCATTACCACATAGTGTTGGACTGTGATATTTTTTAGCCTCACACTGTTTCGCAGCTCGCTGCATTCTTTATGAAGCATGTTTACCTGCCGAAAATTGCTTACACTGTGATATTGTCATTTCAGCGCAATGAGGCTAAGGTACAACTACAACCAAGTCTTTTTTGAGATCACTAAAGTAGCAAGTGGGTATGTCGCACAGTTTCACTAATGAAAAGGGTCATCATCACAGCAACATTCCAGCGACTGTTTTCATTGTAAATTACTCATTGCAGGAATTAATTTTGAACGTGGTATGCTTTGGGAGCAGCGAGATTGCTGAGCCAAATATTCATGCCGTGTGTCATTAAAACAACCCACATGTTATTTGCTGCTTTGATTTACGTATTTTGTAGCATTGCAGTATAACTGTAGTCGGGAATTCAAATCAAATGAAATATTATTTAAATATTTATACAATGTTGAGGACAATGAACAAAAAGCCGGCACGGCATTGTGCTCGGCAAGCCTAAATGTGTACAATTGAATGCTTGCAGTCAATGACTATGAGAAGAGACGGACATACGTATCATGCGTTCTTGCAACATGTTTTTAATGTAACTGCAATTTTTATGCGTTTTCGTGAAAGAAGTTGTGTGACGTTGCTGCATTGTTCCCACAATCTTTTGATGGCAACAGTCAGCACAGGGTGCCCCTCATATGCGCTTGATCCAATCTAGTCTGTTGTGACTGTGATCACTGATATAGAAAAGGGTGTTTCCGTTGCCTAATTCATGCGACATTTAAAAAAACTGCAGCATTTTTCTATTGCCACCATGCATAATGTTGAAGCACGAGTAAGTACTTTGTGTTGTGGCAAACACAGCCCTGTCTTGCCTGGGTGCACTGGAATTAGTATGAATAAATTATGTGTGTGATATGACAGCTTACCGCGTTCCTGTGCACTTCAAAAAAGGCCCACGACAGCGCTGCGCTGCTGCTGTCCTCTGAGCAGCACGTTGCGGGGTGTGAGCACATGGCTCTCTCCTGGCTCCTTATCGTCATCTTCAACTGGTGGCATGTCCCCAACATACTCATCCAAGGTCCAGTCCCCCGCGTCCAATGCAATGTTGTGGAGAGCAGCGCAGGCATAAATAATTCGCCCTGCTCGATCGGGGTTGTAGAGCATCGTTCGAAAGTGCTGCAAGCAGCGGAACTTGCTCTTCAACACTCCGATACATCTTTCCACAACATTGCGCATGGATGCGTGCTCCTTGTTGAATCGGCCTTCGGAGGTGTTGCCGGGGTGACTGCCAGGAACTGGAACGAGGAGCCATGGCTCGAGGGGATACCCTGCGTCTCCTGCAATAGATAAATGGCGGCTGAGTGCTCTACCCCAGTTAGTTCACATTAATACTTACCAAGCAGATATTCGCCAGGCTGCAGCTGTGCAGCTAGGCGTGAACGCAAAGGGTTGTGTTCCCAAACCCAGGAGTCGTGGCACGAACCTGGGAACCGTGGGTCCACGACAAGGATGCGCAGCCGTGCGTTGCACACCTGTAATGAGCGATACAAAATAGTACTGCATCTATGCTCCAAACAAACCCCTTCTTTCTACACATAAGCCGGAAACAATGCATACTAGTACAGTCATTGGTACATGCAGTTTCACCTAGAGGGGAACACAGGGACAGGGTGTAGCAACTGAGGAGGGAAGGGGGCAATGACCATTCCCCTGTACACATGGCTAGGACTTCCACTGAATGATCGATAAATGAAAACCTACGCCATGCTATTGGGAAAGAACACTCGTACATACCACAGCTAGCCTATGCAATTGTGGTTATAAGTACTTTCGTGTTTGAAATACTTCCCTATCGTATGTATAATTCTGCTACGACTACAGCCCATATTCTTATTACCTTCAAAATGCTCAACTTCATTGCGCATGCATGCCAGAACGAAGACAAAAAATACGACAACTGGCTCACTTACACAAACACTTGCCACTTATGATAACCGAGGCCATGAGAGCCACCAACTAGCACGCACCCGTTTATCCGCATGTTCTCCCTTATTCTTTGAATTGGTACTTTTCCCAGCTCCGACGTCAAAACTGAACAGCTACTCCGATGGGCGAGTAAGAAAGGATCCGAACGGTACTTACGATCATGACGTTCAGGGCATAATAGCCCTTTCTGGACATGAAACTCGCCGTGTCGGCCAGGCTGTATCCCTCTGGCTTGCGAATGGCGACCAACGTGCCGTCGACACACGCCAGCACGCCTGGGATGCAACCACGTCGTGCAAACTCCGCCTTCGCCTCATCCTTGGCAGCTGTGGTCAATGGGAAGTCCACCACCCTTTTTCTGGCAGCCACGGTAATAATCGCCTCCGTCACCTCGTGGATGGTGTTGCTCACCGCCGGCTGAGACATGCCGATGTGTTCCTCGCGACCAATGCTCAGCTGGAAGCTACCGGTGGCGAAAAATCGCAGCGCGCACAACACCTTTCTCTCTGTGGAAAGGCCACTGGCTCGCTGGCATCCGATGATAGGGTCAAGTTCGTCGCACAAGCTACGCACTGTTCGTTTGGACAGACGAAAACATTGCCGGAACTCTTCTTCGCTGAACTCTTCAAATGCATCTTTTACCTCGCGTTGTCGCCTCTGCTCGGTTGAAGCTACCGCACAGGCAAGGCGAAGTACCATGTCAGTGGGAAACGCCATGTTGTCTAAGTGCCCCGGTGCCGAAAGGTCGCGCTTTTTTTTCCATTTCAATCCAATCCAGGCCACCTTGCAGCCATTTCAATCCCTCCGGTTGCTTTCGGACAGTCTCTCCGACCGTTCCATCGCCTTTCTCCGAAAACCGTAAAAAAAGAGTCACGTGACACCCCAGTCCACGTCACTCATAACGTCACAGCATTCGTCACAGCTTGTATGGGCCAATCGCGTGCGACTCAATGGAAGAGACCGCCTTTGTCCGGATTTGGAATTTTTACATAATAGCACCACTGAAGTCGTCCATGTCGCACGCCTAAAGCCGTTTCATGCGCGTTAACAAACTAAAACAGTGTTTTCTTTGTATTGTATTTATTCATTGTACTTTCTTGCATTATTATTGTACCTTCATCTTTAGTTAAAGCATCGAGACGATGCCTTTTTCAGAGGGGGGCAATGCCACGTTCCATTTCCCAAGCTTTTGTTATCGTCCCATAACACCACACGATTCTCAGCGCAAACCGCGCCTGCAGTTTTCGAGAGGGTTCCGGACTGTAGTAGATCATTTCGATAAGATCACGCCCACTGTGCGAATGGTACAGATTGTTCTGGAACGTACGCCGCCGCCAGCGGTAGCGCTAGAACATTCGACGGCAAGAGTATAAAATGCCGACGCGCTTCGCCGCTAGTCAGTTGTTGATCGAAAGCCGACGCTCCGTTCGCCGCTATCAGTCCGAGACTGCTATCTGTGCGAGACTGCTGCTGTAATTGAACTTTCCGTTTACCGGGCACAGGTTCGCCCAAATAAACAGTTAAATCCCAACACGAAGTCTCCTGTCTTCGGCCACGTCATGACCCCGTGACAATATCAGAGCTCTGTGCTTACATACTCATCGCAATGCCAGCTGTAACAGGCGCACCTGTTTTTTTTACTGCTCATGTTATTCACTAAATTAAGTAATAGAATTGCGCTAAGCCGATCTCCTGTGCTCAAGTAGCCTTCGTTTCAGATCTGAGGCAGTCGTCCAATAAAAGTGTTCTTTGCAAAACAGATATCATTGTTAACTACTATGATAGCATTGGATTGCAAGAAACTTGGAATATTCTATTTCCTATTGCGATTTTACACGCGCGTCAGAGACACTTGTCAGATATGACCACCTCGTTAATTGTGCGCAACCAGTTCAACACTCAGCTGCTTTCCTCAACTCATTCTTGCCCCGCCGCGGTGGTCTAGTGGCTAAGGTACTCGGCTGCTGACCCGCAGGTCGCGGGATCGGATCCCGGCTGCGGCGGCTGCATTTACGATGGAGGCGGAAATGTTGTAGGCCCGTGTGCTCAGATTTGGGTGCACGTTAAAGAACGTCAGGTGGTCGAAATTTCCGAAGCCCTCCACTACGGCGTCTCTCATAATCATATGGTGGTTTTGGGACGTTAAACCCCACATATCAATCAACTCATTCTTTTAGCTAGAACACGCACGGTGATAGCGTCTGTCGCAGTTTTTTCGCTAAAAAATTGACACGGACATTTGCGTGAATGGTGCGCCACGAACCAAACAAACATACTGATCGTACGCACATTTCCGGACGCACTGAAGCGATAGCCTTCTTGGACTGATAATGTTGCCCTTTTATATCCGTATCAAATGCACAAACAGTGCTATGGAGAACTCGCACACATGAAAACACTTGGTCTGGTACATTCAATGTTTCAAGACCATGATTATTTCCATGTTACAGTATAGAAAGCCACCAAACATTCCCTTATCAGTACAAGATGCCGGCAACCGTCAATTGAAAACAAAGTTGAGTGGTATTAAAAACTAGTAATGCTCTTTTACTGCACGCCCGTTGTTGATGATATTTTGTAGCCGTAATCTATCGCGCTGGTTTAGTGTTCGATGATATTTAGGGTTTTAACGTCCCAAAACCAGCATATGATTACGAGAGACGCCGTAGTGAAGGGCTCCGGAAAGCTGGTTCAGCCGCTGTGCTTTTGATGGTTATACGTGGGTGTTCATAGACATATCTTTTTGAAATATTGCGCTGTTTACTTTAGCTTGCCATGTTGGCGCGCATAAAGCATGCGGGAACGTGCGAACCGCAAAAAAAGAATAGTACAATGATTTACGTAGACTAAATGAAAAAGTTTTTCAGCGACTCTAATCTACAGAAAAAAAAACGCTCCCTCTATACCGTGTGGCTGCGCGTTTGCAGTGCACGTTGACCGAAGAAAGCAAATCAAGAAAACACAAATAAGAATAGAAAACGGATGAGGGGGTGCAAAGCGAAGGAGAGACACGACATGCGGACTATGTACTTTGACGCACACAAGTTTGCAAGGACTCTGTCAGAATATTTGCGGTGATCGAGTATCGTGTAATGGCACTGATTTGAAGTGACTGTGCCCAGCAGTGTCTGTGGGACTACTTACACATTTTTATATGCTTAAATAGTTGGTTTCGACGATGTGCAACACCAACAAGCTGATGTTGCTCAATAGTGCTCTCACGCACGTGCGTGGCTACGACCGCCTCTTTTAAAATGCATATAACATAGTATATGGCTCTGAAATTTTCGCTTGAGGTGCAAGCGAGCAACAAAATCGGCCGTAGGCATGCGAATTGAAGGACACTTTGTAAATATTATTGTGTTTGACGAGAGCCTCTGCCCATTAATACGGGTTAGGTCAAAACAGAACCTGATGTGCACGTCTCCCTTCTTGCATGAGTGCGTGGATTGTAGTCGACTACAGCGAAAACACCTCCGCATGAGAGCCGTGTGACTAACTTGACTGCTGCAACGAAGCATCTATAGATGAAGCGTTGTCGCATGCATCACTGTGTTATCAGGCAATTTCTGAGGGAGTGTAAAGAGGAGAGAGCCTTGATACCGTAACCACTCAGGCATTCCGTGCACGTGATTGATCGATAAGTGGGGTTTAACGTTCCAAAACCAACATTTGATAATGAGAAAAGCTGTAATGGAGGGCTCCGGAAATTTAGACCACCAGGGGTTCTTTAAGGTGCACCCAAATCTGAGCTCATGGGCCTACAGCATTTTCGCCCCAATCGAAAATGCAGCCGCCGCAGTGGCGATTCCATGCCATGACCTGCGGGTCTGCAGCCAAGTACGTGAGCCAATAGACCACCGTGGTGGGGCATTCCGTATAGGTGATTAACCAGCGATGCCACAGCATGTGGTCCCGGTGTTTATCATGGGCTGTAATCTATTGAAGTGCCTTCTGTTGTAGCTTTTAATTTTTTTTACCACTACCTTCAACTAATGGGCGCTTTATACTTTGCATTTAGGAACGTTAGCCCCAAGCACATTAAGCCTACATAAAATGTTTTAAGAGGGGCGCTTCATAATATTGTTAGTATCATCCGAAACTGTTGTGCTGACAAAACTTGTAGATGAGCTAGTGCAAGTGTGGAGGCTCGTCATGGGAGCGTATGCTAGCATCCATGACACGGACACACGCCGCCCGTCAGTGCGAGTATGAGACATTAAAAGATTTCGCCTTAATAACTGTCTGTAGGGCATTTATACACGCATCAATAATTTCCCAACCAAAGCATATTGTCAATCTGATTTATGATTGATTTGTAGAGCTTAACGTCCCAAAACCACCATATGATTATGAGAGACGCCGTAGTGGAGGGTTCCGGAAGTTTCGACCACCTGAGGTTCTTTAACGTGCACCAAATCTGGTCACACGAGTTTACAGCATTTGCACCTTCATCGAAAATGCAGGCACCGCATCCGGGATTGTATCCCGCTACCTGCGCGTCAGCAGCCGAGTACCTTAGCTACTACACCACCGCTGCAGGGCATATATATTGCTCATCATGTCGACCAAACAAGTTCGTGTGGGTGCATTCTTTTTCTTCATTCAAGTAACAAATAAACTCAACTAAAAAATTGCCCATATATCTGCGTGGTTTGCTGCGGCTGCTGTCGAAAGACGGCAGCCTTCTGCCGGCCAAGTGGCCATTTATGATTTGTCTTGCCTGAGACAGCGTGTCCTCCATTTTGAAATGGTCGCATCTGGCTGGCATTGATACAATGGAGCAGGCGCTCCGTGAGATATGGTAGCCATCTGGCAGTGCCACCTGGAAACATGAGGTTGTGCAGAAGCCAGGTCTGCTGCCAGGTGGCATCACCATATCATCAGCAGAGGAGGTCTTTGTGCATAGCGTCACATTTTCAGCGCAGCCTAAGAAGCACTAGATTCTTTAGAATAACGTACCTACGTATTTTCTAGTAAAGGAATAGACAACCTATAATACTTACGTATCAGTGTAGCACCTCAAATATGCGTAACATTGGCTTGTTCGTCGTCAATTTTCACAAGTATGAACGGAGCCACCAGTTGAAGACGGCTGCGCATTTAGCAAGGGCTTAAACTTTGGACGGGTGGCTAAATCGCGTGGCAAAAAGACATACAGCCAGAGCGAAATTTTTGTGTTGAAGTATGCCAAGAAACACTAGTGTCTTTAGAGTGTTAGTTATAGTGTTCCAGCAATGACAGGTTTCCTTCGTTTTGTGAACAGCGTAAGAGCTATTTTTTGTTCAAATAACTTTAGGGCTTGAGCAGGCATTATATAGGCAATGCACTTATAACAAAAATAATGCTGTTACAAGTGCAGCATATATATTTGACAACAAATAAAAATTCGATACAAATAGCTATACATATACATATACTCTAATACATACATGCATACATATGTAGACTTACCATTACATGAGAGAGCTCTAATGCAACGTGGACAAATTAAAAGTGCCATTGAAAAGAGAAAAAAAAAAGAACACAGAAAGCAACTTAAAGTAAACGTTTTTCGAATGCTCCAAGAGCAAAAAAAAAGGTACAATGGAAAAGGTAATTCATGCTCATTGAATTACGGTCTTCGAAGATCAACAACAAAAAGATAAGCAAAAGAACCCTAATACTATTCATCAAAGGAAATTTTAGAATTATTTATGAAATTTTTATTATCTAGAGAAGAGATGATGTACGGTAGCTTGTTTTAATCATGTATTACAAGAAAAAGGGAGATTTGCTTAAGAAGTTTGTGCGAGGAAAAGCGGGTTGCACTTTAATAGGGTAATGAGGGCTCAGAAAGAAATATACGATGGGCCGCTCCAATATAGCACGTAGTGAACGATGTTGAGTGATAAACTTTTTGGAAATGTACCAGAAGTGAGATCATTTTTCTATTTTATAGGGAGGTTTAGTTCAGATATTTTCTTAGGGCTTGTTAGATGTTCGTGAGTATTTTTGGCAATGAGGCGGGTAGCTTTGTGTTGTATTTTCTCGAGTTTGTTGTAGAGGTAGGACGGGTGCGCGTTCCTTATAAAAGATACACACTCAAGTTTTGCGCGAAATAATGTCGTATAGGCCAATAATTTCGTATATTTGTTTGTCAAGTAAATGTTACGCCGGATGAAGTCTAGCGTTTGGCATGCGTTACTACAGATTGCCTCGATGTGAAAAAAAGCAATCGCAAACTCAACCAACGCAGCAGCAGCCAAACCCACAGAATTTATAGCAGATAAACATATGCTGCAGTGACATATCAATTCCGTCACTTTCGCCTGGCAAAACTCAACGTCACACGCACAACGTTGCCAATAATTCTGGCAAGTGAGGTGAACGTTTAGAGGCAAGCTTTAAAATTTATTTAAAAATCATCTGCGAAATTCTCAAGCTTGCGATTTGGCATAAATGGCGCAAACGTACAAATGAACGTACCCAGTGAATTTCATTGGGATCCATTGACTTCAAAAATCGCCGTAGTTCGGCTTTGAGGCATCGGCAAATTAGAACTTCTATTGAAAATGCGCCGAATGGTACGGATGCGGAACGACACTCGTGGCAGTCGCTAATCTCGGAGGTCACAGCAATGATGAATTACCTGACTTCACAGCTCTCGGAAGGCGACACCACTCCACCGACCAAGGGCATTGTGAGAGGAAAGTGCAAGGTATATAAAATATGTGTTTGTAGTGCCTCCAGTATGTGTGGCTGGGGCGGAGAGAAATGCTGCATGGCATTTGTTGTGTAGTACGAGAGGTCATGCGTTGAGTGCCCTGTACTGAATTTTTCACTGACATGTAATGCTGTTCCTGTCATTTTTGTTCTGAAAATGAGTCACTGAAGCCCTAATGGACCCTCGCATAAAAGACATTTGCGTTAAAATAAAATTGGGAATGTCAAGACCACGTTGCTTATTGTCTTTTTTCAAGAACGTCGTCGATAACATTCGAAACCCTCTCTGCTGAAACAATCTCGGCCAGTCTGACCAGACCCCCGCGCCCGATGCGCCATTACTGAGCGTATACTAACATGGAACAACAAATGCAGCTTGTCCTTTATTCACTGAAAGACGAGGCGACCATTTTTATCACAATTAAGCTTACTTTGCATGTTTTTGAAAAAAAACGAAGTAATTCGGTTAACAGGAATTGCGCTAAAAAAGAAAATGACTCATGAAACACAGAGGCGGTTGTCATATCTCAAAAGTTTAATGCATTCGGAGAAGGCAGGATCCGCTTAACAGCTACGTACATTGTCCTTATTTAGGTGGTATTTATTTCGATACTATCAGCGATCGGGCCCCAGATGCTACAGATAATCGGCATTCAGAAGCTGATTGTGGAACAAGAGAGTTGGAGCCTGTTCTGCAGGCGCTTTCGGCTCCACTGTCTTATGAATATACGCCAAGCCATCATCTCATCCCTTCAGGCAGACGACCTTACGAGAAATGTAGCAGATATATGAAACTTGCTTGAATAGACATTTATGATTCTCTTCAAGCACTATCGGGAAACAAAACTATTCGCTTTCGGCGCATACGTTCCCTGAAAAAAAAGCACAAGGCAGACAGAAATGTTTGCGTCAATATACTCTTAGGCTACAATAAATCATTTGATCTAGATTGAGTATTGTAAATCACTAATCACGAAAAAATACAACGCTTTTTATTTCGTGTCCTATTAGAGAAACACTTTTCTGAGAAATTGTGAAAAGCTGTAGCGACCGTCATCTGCCATTTTGAGTATCGAGGCTGCTTATCAAATCAAGTTAAAGGTGTTCACTTTCCAGTGTCTGCGTTTCGGAAAGTTGTAACGTGTAGTCCGTTTAGACGCACTGTAGGTAACTACAGATGAACACGGTTAGATAACATATGAAACCCTAAACCTAAATGAAAGTGTCAGCTTTACATTAAAGCTATGCAACTAGATGATTTGAGGAGTAGCAAATGAAATTAAGTTTTATGATCTAGCGCTCTAGAATGTTCATTATTTTCTAAATTATTCGGAACATATTGAGCATTTTGTGCATATAAACACATTTGCCCCATATGCTAACGCGTGCAGAAAATTGAAGGACTAGTGTTGTGCATAAAGTAGTGGATATAAAGTGTGAAAGCTTGGGCCACTTAATGTGAAAATGAAAGATTGCGTGCAGCTAGGATTTGAAAGATATCTCTGAAAAAGATGGCAGCTGATGTGAGAAATTTACTTCGCATATACAACAGAATCAGGGTCCTAGTTCTACATCTGTCCCCGCGCTTTCCTTGTAAAGCTTCTTTCGAGGCATACTGTCATATGACTTGTTTACCGTAGACACATTCTGCCACTCATTTTTCGGCAGCTGGCAACCTGATGGTTCTGTTGTTCTCTATGGAATATTGCATAACCTGAACGTCTTTCCTGTTATAGAAATAAAGACCTCAGAATCCCTTATCAGGTATTCTGCGAGGTCAACTTCCCTAAACCTCTGGTGCTCGTAAGATAACAGTTATGTATGCTGCACGCACGGACCATATTCAGTTGTGTGTCCTCACAGTTTAGCTGCAATGACTTCCATCAGTACGCAATGTCAGAATGAAAAAAATAGCAACTATATCTTTGTCGCGCGGGATATTTGATTACACGTTCGCCATTGTGAATTTGAGACAATAGTATATGAGATTTGCACTTACTGTATACATTTGCTTGCTCGGTAGTGAATTTCTGCATCTGGAAATCCATTGAATGCTGAAGTAACACATGTGATCCCCCACACCATGCTTGGCTGTGTAGGGCGCATGATCTGCTGCAAGATTTGAAACATGAGCGCAATCATGTAATGTGTTGTTAATGTTAGCGACAATTGTCATCGCAATATGCGCAGAAAATTAAAAAACGGCGAGCAGCAGTTTGTTTCTCGACAAACGTCTGCACGTGTCTTTCCTAGGCTAGAAGCTGTACTAAATCAACTTTACCAAATTCTGATCCCGGCTGTGGCAGCTGCATTTCCGATGGAGGCGGAAACGTTGTAGGCCCGTGTGCTCAGATTTGGGTGCACGTTAAAGAACCCAAGGTGGTCGAAATTTCCGGAGCCCTCCACTACGGCGTCTCTCATAATCATATGGTGGTTTTGGGACGTTAAACCCCACATATAATAATAATAATAATAACCAAATTCTGGAGACCTGTTACTTGAGATGAAAATGGTAGAAGAAAACATAAGTGCACATGGCACGGGGGTTACCCGGAAAAGCGTCGGGTTGTCTACCCGATACACTAAAAAAATGAGAATGTCGGATTGATAGATCACAAATAGATATATTTTATTCATGCGTGTGACGGCTGAGTGAGTGCGTGAAGCACAAAAGACTCGAGTAAATTCAAAATCATCTGATCAGGCCCACTCTAGGTGATTATGTTCGATTTATTCAATAGACGTGCATCACAATAAGTGAACTTTTGAGATAGGTGAAACATTGCAGCATTGTACAAACACGACAAAGTATTCCATCATTGTACGAACACAACCAATGAAGAAAGAACACAGTTGATCCTTACGTCTAACAGCTCCGGACGAGCGATTTTCTCGCTGTAGATGACCATCATGAAGGACTTGTATGTGGAATCATTGATGTAGTACATGCACACAGGTGTCTTATTGTCTGTTGACAAAACAAAAGCACACAGTTAGTGTACAGGAAATATCGCATTGTAGATTTTTTTCATAATGATA